TTCATGGTAAATGAACAAGTTTGGTTTTGTCATACCACGTGACATTTTTCGTCACATGTATTGCTCTGACATATTTGCTAGATATCAATCTGGGACGACGGATGTGAATTGATGATAAATTAACAATGAATATTTTAATTTATCGATTCTAATTAGATCAAAATAATAATTCACATCGTTTGACATCGTGGGGGGTCACTTACAAAAGGAGAACTAGAATAATGATATTATTGTTAATTAATTGACAAATGTTGGACATTTGTACAATTAATTAATTGAGTTGCTTATTAATGGACTAAGTTAATTGGATTAATTAATTTATGGNGACTTATATTAATAAGTTATTAAGGTTTCAGAAAAATAGAATAGAACATAATTCATTATCTTGCTAGTACCAGAAAAGAGAAATCCTAATTCTCTCATTCTTAGTTCCTGTGTTGATTTCCATTAGATGTTGAACAATTGGATAGTTGTGCATTGCAGATAGTGATTATTCGTGTTCCTAGATCAGCAAAGGAGTTTATACAAATTAGAAAATGTATAATTCCTCACACATATTCTTTCTAAAGGCAAAGAATATCCTTAATGGGAATTAAAATTATTTTATTTTACGCTATGGATCATTATGTAAATTCCCAACACCCATAGGGGGAAAACTCTGCAAATTAATGTGGTTTATGAACTGAACGTGTTATACCACCTTTACCAGCAAAGAAAATCTCTTTTATGCTTCTACCACAAATCCAAGTAGTATACCTTGCAAAGTAGTAGTTCAGATTCGTAAACCAGAAAGAATATTTGAGATACAAGAAATTGAACAAACCTCAGCATCAGGTGCTGCCATAGCATCTTCACCTCCCCAAGGTACATTATGAAGCCAGATTGAAACAAAAGGGCCATCAATCTTGTGCCAGTTTAAACATTTTATATCAACATGAGGACCATGATAACCATACAGTTGAGTTCTGGTGGGTTCTTTATCAGAATTACTTCCGCTTTCAATTTCAACAATGAGATCATCTGCATGGTCGAGTGGTTCTCCATAAGTTTCATAGCCGGAAGCGGGCACAAAAATTATACTTCCGTTATACTTTCTCAGGCCAAATATTCGCTGTAGGGCCTGCAACAGCGATGGCTTAACTGTTTAGAAGTAAAGCCTTTGATAGAAAAAATTAATACTGCCTCCGAAGGGAGAGCACTTATGTTGGCCGGTTTTACATCAATGTTTTTAAATCAGTAAATTAAATTGTACTATATACTTACCAACATGTGATTATGAAGAGCAATCATTATTCACCAATGTCTAACATAAGAATCTAACATAACTTTGAAAAGAATTAATGTTGTAAAGCTCACGTAGAAATCTATTCGAGCACTCCCCATCCACCTGTATTTTTCAGACTCAATGTCGATATCAGCAACAAGACCTGCAGTAATGCCTTATAAATCTTTGCTACATCGAATTTCTTCTCAGAAATTATTACCAAGAAGTTATGAACAAAACGTTGGGTTCTTTCTATGTGACAGTATTAAAATTGAAAGAATTTCTTATACCCCACGCGAGCATCAACACGCTAAAATATCTGGTGTCTCCTTGTGATATAGTTGCTACATCCAACAAACGCTTATGCCCTGCCAATTTGAAAGCATGTAGATAAAATTTTCTTACATTAAATCGATGTCCAATAAAATAGATGCTAATATTTATAACAAAACAGAAGGTAGCAAAACAAAATGATAAAAGAAGGGACATAAGCAGACGGCATACCTCGAATAACAGCAAGAGTAGCATTAAATGCTGCACAAGGTTGACCAACTGAATCTAGAAGCGATTTTATCATCCCATTTCCAGTTCCTATGTTCAGAAACACGTCAAGGATTTGTTGCATTTCTCATGCTTGTATAGTCAGTAAGAGGGGAAAAAAAGTAACAAGTAGAACAGCCAAAGACCACTCATTGACATTGTTGTAACTAGTAAATTGAATACTGTCCTACAAATTTTTTTGTAAAAAGTCTTGCATTCTTAAACTAGGAACAAACCTAAACACAAAAGCAAAATGTTGATATATTGATCTGGGTATCAAAAGCCCCTTTTCTATTTCAAGCCAGACAAAAAACTCAATTTCAGAGATAATAAAAATTAAAGTAGGTTATTTTAACCTGCAGGTACTACTCCAAGAGGAATCTTTATAGCAGCATCCCAATCCTCCCTGTTGAGCAATCCATTAACTACCTATTAGATGCCACAACACATGAAAGAAACAACATAAAGGTCATTGGTATATCTTTCAAAAACTCAACTAAAAATTATTCTATATTTATGTGGAGATTTTTCCACTTTACTTAGAAAATCACAAGCACATAACTTTTCAAGATCAACGTATTGACACTTCTATATCGGTACATCCCAGTGTCTTGAATGCACATCTTGTGCCAAATCTCAAGAGATAACACTAAGCCACAATAGCTTATGTCCTAAATTTGATTTAGAAAAAGTGTGAAATTTTTTTTAAACTTGTGTATTTAAATGTCACCATTACACAACTATTGCAAAGTTTTGTTCATGCTCCATCATGATAACCAAAAAACTGGGACTAGGGCTAGACAAAACTCCCGAATCAAATCGGACCGAACTAGACCGGATCCAACCGAACCGAACCGAGCGGTTCTTCTTAAGTTAAATACCCAATGGGTATCTTAATTGAGAACCGATGGGTTTGGTTCGGCTCGGTTCTCGATTTCAGATCAAGAATCGAATCTCCTTAATTTTTTTAATTTATTTATTTTAAATAAGCCAAATTATTTTATTTTTTTTAAATAAATTTGCTAACTAATTAATTTAGCCCAAACCCAAAATATGTTTTTCTTATTTCTAATTTTCAGCCACAGTCTAATTTAATCAAATTGACCTAAATTTTAACAAAATCTATTATTCTACCATAGAGTCGTTTCTATAGTTATGGGGAAATCAAATTTGAAGTCTGACTACGCCTCTCTTTATTATTGTGAGCTCGCTATCTTCATCTTCCTGTAATTTTTGTAATTTTAACAATCAAATCTATGAAGAATTCAACAAAGAGATGTGCAAAAGATATATAAGATTGAACTATGTTATTTTGTAAGAACTAAAATTGAACATATCATTAATTGAATTAATATAGCGTTGTTTTAAATATTAAAAACTTTAATTATTGTATGGAACCTAGGAATCGAATGGAACCGAACCAGAACGGTTCTATAATTAAATTTGGACTAAACGGTTCCACTTACTAAATATCCGAAAATTCAGGTTCATTCGGTTCTAAAGAGAATTTAACCGAATCGGATCATGTCCAACCCTAGCGGGGACGCATGAACGATGAATCTAACATGTAAATAGTTTTTCCAACTGTAAGCATTCCTTTTCTGAAAGAATGTACTCTAATGGTTTACTACAAAAGAAAAGGCACTACAAATGCCAAGAGGATGAAAATTAGAGTTTTTCATATGCTTGAATAACTCAAAATGTGTATAAACACTCCACCTCCACATGTGCGCATGCAGAGAATACATAAATTCAGTACAGTGCTTAAAAACAATGATCAAGATATAGGTAAAAATTACTTAAAATGAATTAACCAAATAACCAATATATAGATATATGCACGTACAACCACACTGCAAAGAATATAAAAGTAACTAACCTCGACCAAAACTCCGTCTCCACTAACACAAACAATTCCATCGTACTTTGTAAGATCCAGCTCTTGAACAACTTCCTTTGCATGAAGCTGATATTTAGTTTCTGAGAATTACGATCTAAATCCAATTAGCATTAAATACCAGCAAAACATAAAATGTCCAAGAAAAATTACATGGATTCAAATAATTTTCAGAGGAAGGAAAAAAAATAAAATAAAATAGAGCATCTCCAACCTTGCACTGTGAAGTCAATATTAGCATCATCAAGTAAAGGCTTTACTTCGGTCTCAAATATCTTCAAGGCCGAATTCTTCCCGCCGTACGGATTCACAAATATAAACAGCCTCTTTGGCCTACCTGAACCCCCAACCACACCCAGACACAAAATTACACTCTTAAAAAACTATGGATGAAAGTTACAGTAATTTATTCTCTATTTACAATGCGTTGAATAGTCAATAATTTACCTAGAGCATCGAGAATTTCATGGAGATTTTGAGCCCATGAGTGAAGAGAACTATTCGATGAGAATTCAAGAGTAAAATTCTTCCTCATGATGGTTGACTTGGCAAAACAGCAGAGTCCAGCCGTACACTCTACTATTCTGATTTTAATCTTCAAACCCTCGACTGAAAACCCGATTACCTCCTCCTCTACATCCAGACTCCGGTCAGACCACCGGAGTTGACCTCCGGAGGTCAGGATCGCCGTCGTCTCACTGCCGTTGACCAGGACCCTGTCCGATAGTAGGGGCTCTTCGGATTTAGTCGGATCCATATATTTATGTAATCGAGGCTCGGCCAATCCGATTCCCCGTTGGAAGTTCAACAGAAATTCGAAAAACTGATTTTAAGGTCCGCCGGGGAGTTTTTACGATGGCCACCTCAGATTTACGATTCAGTGCGTAAGCCTAACTCTAGGGAATGGGAAAAAAAAACATTCGACCTGATACCGGTAGACCCCGCTCCCAATGGAGTGGAAATTGGGGAACCAGTTCTGGTGGCCAACACTAGGAAGTTTTTATCCAAAAGGCATTTAACCAGATTAAAAGTGTTAAAATACTACTTTATCCTTTTTTTGTAAAACAAAATTGAAGAAATTTTAAAGAAAATTTCAAAAGTCCAAGGTTTGAACCTTCAACCTCTATGAAAAGAATGTGCTCCCCAAACCACTAGGATATTAAATAATATTATTTATTTTATTGCAATAACCTATATATATATCTTGACAAATTATATTCAAATTTATAAGGCCTAAGGATTTGAACCTTCAACCTTTATGAAAAAAATTATTAGAATGTTTTCCTTACCACTAGGACATTGAACAATGTTGTTTATTTCATTGCAATAACATATATATATCTTGAAAAATTATAGTCAAATTTTCAATGTCCAGGTATTTGAACCTACAACCTCTAAGAAAAATGATACTTCCCTCACCACTAAGACATTGAACAATATTGTTTATTTTAATGCAATAACATATATATAACAA